TGGTAGGAGGGACGAGTCACAGGGAAACGACGCAAGTGAGGGACGCAAGGAATCCATTTAACCGAAGTGAGAAGGGCCCATAGAAACGCCACTGCACACCGGTGAGCCTTTTTTAGCTACCTAGCGCCACATGTTTTGATGTGTGTTCTTGTCATTATCTCAGAGAGTTCGTATGATTGAGTGATAATGAGGGTACCCATCGATTCTGTGTCCCCTCACGATGTGAAACGATGGGTTGAGATGTGTAGCAAAGATAAACAATAAGGTTTTGTGAGTGAATCTTGGTGCAGTCATCTGTTAGCATTTTTCGCTCGTTGCTAATTCAGAGGCTCAGCGTTAGCATTGTGTTTTTAAAAAAAAAACAAAATACATTTAAATGATCAGTTAGATGAGTTTCTTTCCGTAACATGGATATAAAACATTCATAGTTTATTAAATTAACATGCCCTCAGACACTGTTTCCTGCAAGATGTTGCGGGAGGGCCCGGAACCGGGGTCTCTCGGGCTGAACAGGTTAAGAAAATGGTCCCACTGCAACAAAGCTTAAATCCAATCATCCAAAATGGTCGCAGCGTGAGTAAGCGCATCTCAAGCTCGTCTGGTTGTCGCTGTTAAATTAGCTCTTTAAAGCTCATATCATTGATCCACATGATCTGAACCCATGAACATGTGTATAACATAGTAAAGCGGCTCACTACGGTCTCTGGATTATTGTATTTTTTGCATATTTGCAACTATGGAGGGAAACATGTCTCTGCAAACTTTGTGGGACGCGATTCAGCAAATCAAGACCGACATGCTGACTCACATTGACTCAAAAATGGATCCCATTCAAAGTAGCTTGAGCAGGATACACAATTCCCTGTCTAGTTTGGGAGACCAGGTCAATTTGTTAGAGCAGCATGTCGGGGCTAATGAGGACAATGTACACGAGTGTGTCGCTCGAGTCAAGCAGCTTGAGAAAGACAACTCCTTCCTAATGTCTAAAGTTGATGACTTGGAGAACCGGAGCCGACGTTCTAACCTTCGCTTCGTAGGAATCCAGGAGTCCGCTGAAGGCAGTGACATTATCGGCTTCATGTCTCGGCTCATCCCGCAGCTCCTGGGGCCAGATGCCTTCCCTGCCCTGCCGATCATTGAGAGGGCACACCGCTCGCCGACTGCCAGGCAAAACTCCCGTGCCAGCCCGCAGGCCATCATGATCAGTGGCGTTTTCTCCCGGAGTCCAAGGGAAGCCAGGCTTCCCCTGTTTTTTTGGATTGTAGTTATAATTTAAATAAATAAATAAAAATACTTTGTTTTGTTTCTGTAATTCTACTTTCCTGTGTGTTCCTGCCGGACCGTCTCTCCGTCTCTCCCCCATTCTCATTGAGTATTTTACAAAGAGTGAAACAGCGCCCCTCTAGATGTTATGGTGAAACAGTAGATTGCATTCACTGTTGCGAGAGGAGGCCAGCTGAATCTAGCTTCCCTTGGTGAAAAAAAATTGAGGGATTAACCAATCAGATGAGGCCCACGTGATGCCCCTGCCAACCTGTGATTGGTCAGAGCCATGCCAGGGGAAGCCAGCCGCCTCTAGCTTCCCTTCAGGGGCGGCTGGCGGCTGGCGATTTGATTGGACACTGCCATCCAATCACATCAACATCAATTTTAATACTGTAACTGTCATCACCGCCGTTAGAAATTATCAAGCAAATGAAGCATTATGGAGGGAGGAGATTTGGCGTACTTCATTAAGCATAACTTCACTAAACTTCCGCTACAGCAGCAACTAAAAATTAAAGCAGATGGCAGGACAACGCCCACACTCGAGCTGTGTACACAGAGGAATAAGGGATCTAATCGGACGTTCAATGAGGACAATTATGTCCGCACGGAGTGGCTAACTGGAAGCGCTAAACTTCAGCGTCTATTTTGCTGGCCATGTCTTCTTTTTGACAAGGGTTCGTGCTCCCTGAACAATCCTTGGGCAACTTCAGGATTCATCGACCTTGCCAACCTGTCACGGGCAATTGAGAGGCACGGTAAATCTAAAAATCATATAGATTGTGCTGTGAAATTAAAGCTTTTTGGACGCGTCAGGATTGACGAGGCTCTGGATGTAGCAAGAACCATTAGCACAAAGAAGCACAACGAACAAGTAAAAAAGAACCGGGATATTCTGAGGAAACTCATCATTGCTGCCCTGTACCTTGCACGTCAAGAGCAAGCATTCAGGGGACACAATGAGGCCGCTGGCAGCTCTAACAGGGGCAATTTTGTAGAGCTGGTACGTGCATTTGCAGAGTTTGACACTGCACTCGCGGAGCACTTGGGATCGTCAACAGTCTTCAGCGGTATGTCAAACACCATACAAAAGGACATCATTGAGAGCATAGCTCGTTGTATCCAGGATGAGACTGATAAAGAAATACACATTTCTCCTTTCATTGCTGTACAAGTGGATGACACATCAGACATCTCCAATAAGTGCCAACTCACTATTATAATCAGATATGTGAATGAAAAAGGCAGTGTGTGTGAACGTTTCCTCGGCTTTTTTGATGTCAGCTTAGAAAGAGATGCAAAAGCTGTAACATCAGTTGTCATGAGAGCCATCGGGAACTACAGCCCAACAAACAAACTGATTTGTCAGACTTATGACGGAGCAAGCTGCATGAGTGGACAGCATGGTGGCGTTCAGGCTTTAGTGAAAGCACACTGCCCCAATGCGCTATTCATCCACTGCTATGCTCACAAATTACATTTGGTTTTAGCACAAGGCACAAACAACATCCAAGCAGCCAAACTGTTTTTTGCCAATCTCGATGCCTTCCACAATTTTTTCTCACGTTCATGTAAGAGATCAGCACTACTGTCTGAAGTTGATCGAGCTGTGCGTGTACCAGGGGGTTCTGCTGTGAGGTGGAATTTTAAAAGTCGCGCAGTACACGCCATCCATGAAGGACGCGGGTCGCTCTGTATCGCTTTTGACAGGATAATGACAGAGCCGGGATGGGACAAAGAGACCATTGCACAGAGTGCTTCCTTGAAGCAAAAACTTGAGGATTTTGACTTCACCTTCCTGCTCGGGGTCTTTCAGTCCATTTTCGGCCTCACAGAACCACTCTTCCAGGTTCTGCAAAGCAAGACGGCGGACATCAAAAAATGCCAGGATCGGATCATGAGCACTCTCAGCGCTCTCAAAGCCACAAGAACAGATGAGACATTCAGTCGCATTTACGATGACACGGTCAAAGCGGTCGGCGATCCTGTGCCCCGACGTAAACGACGTCGCCGCGGCTGGGACGACCTGGAGCAAGGGTTTAACCAGCACCAAGAAGGAGACGAGGAAACGGTTGTGTCTTTCCGGCGTCTTTACTTCCAGATTGTTGACGGCATAGTGTTGCACAAGACCCAAAGATTTGCAGATATGGAGCACCTGCACTTTTTTCGGATACTGGAACACACATCATTCACATCGTTCTGCAACCCTGATGCATTTCCCAGCAGTGAGCTGGCTCAGCTGATCAACACGTATCCATTCTTTGATGAGCAGAAGTTAAGGAATGAGCTGCACACGCTGTACAACAACAGGTTGTTTCACAAGCCACCAGGAGAGCTGATACAGCTTCTTATTGAGGATGACCTACAGGGCACACTCTCCGAGGTCTACAAGCTGCTCCAGCTCATGCTCACGATACCAGCCACCAGCACATCAGCAGAGCGCTCCTTTTCCTGTCTAAAAAGGATCAAAACGTATCTGAGGAACACGTGTGGACAGGACAGACTTGTCAACCTAGCCACAATATCCATTGACTCTGTTGTTGTGGAGGACCTAAAGGCCGCTGGGAAGTTCTATGACATTGTTATTGACCACTTCGCTACCATGAAAGACAGGAGAATGGCCTTCCTCTTCAAATAGGGTGAGTGAAATGCACACCCCTTTCTCTCTGTGCATACCTGTTGCCTGAACTGCCCGTGTAGCTATGTGTGCAATTTCTGATGTGGTTATGTTGGTTATTGTGCATTGCTTGCCTGGATTTAGCTGCAGGTGTTAGTCAGTCTGAAGTAGTTGTTTTATTGCAGTTGTTTAATTAGCACAGGGTGCTGCTATCCGAAAATCAGCACCGCAGATAGCATGCCATATAGGGCCCGATCACCTGAATAGATGAGATTGTTTATATGTTTGTGTTACTTTTGGACTACGGACTGAACTAATTACAGAGACGAGGACTGTTGCTGCACTTGCCGTGTCTGTTAGTGTAACAGATGTAAATATGCAGTGGGGTTTATTTAATTAAATGTTGTATAATCACACAAATTCTGTTTTATATTTTTTTAATTCTGTGTTCTTCATTTTATTGAATGTTAAATACCTGGCAAGGTCGGAGAGCTGTGCTCAGGAGATTATTGTTGTGAGGACTTTCATTTCCTTTCTTTGTGATTTTACTTTTTGTATATATTGTGTCCCTCACGTTTCCTCTTCCCTTTTTGTAAACGTTCCAAGCAATGAGAGGAGTCACTGAGGGAAATGTATGTAAAACCGATCATTTTATCTGTTATCAGATTCAGACATTAAACAGAGATCGTCTCAACTTTACGCTGACTCGGCGGGTCTCGTCCATTATCAACACAACGCATACTGATACTTTGATGTGAACGTAAAACTTTAAAGGTCTCCTGATTTAGTTTGTGAATGAATGCTTCTTATTTATTAATTACAGAATCTGCACTGCGCATTGAGCGGCTGGTATTGCATTGGTGGGGGGAGGTTGGCATAAATTAATAAGAAAATGCTTAAATGAATAAGACGAGAGAGTTTCAGCTGGAGAGTGCGTGCGGACCTGTCGCTTAGATAACAGGCGTGTACAAGTCCTGCATCTGTATGATACAAATGTGTGTAAAATGTTACCGGGCGCTGTAATCACTCATCTGGTTACGTTATTGAACATCCCCCCCCCCCCCGACCCAAAAACATTGGCTTCCCCTACATTTTTCCCCACCCCACGCTACTGATCATGATCGAGCTGCTGAACTTCCAGGACAAAGTAAAAATCCTTCGTCTTGCCAGGGAGAAAAAGTCTCTGGACTACAACGGGAAACACATCAGCATATATCCCAATTTCAGTCCCGAGCTTACCAGAAGACGCCGGAGCTTCGATCCAGTCAAACGCAAGCTCTGTGAACTCAACTTGAAGTACTTTCTCCTCTACCCGTGCACCCTCTGCTTTGTTGTTGATGGCACACAACAACGCTTCTCTACCCACAAAGACGCGGAGGCAATCTTCATGTCTACCTCAAACTCTCCTGGGTGACGAACATCCCCAGAGATGAGGCTGCTGCTAATGGTAGCATGTTGATCCACTTCGATGGTGCAGCTAAGTGACTTTCTCCTCGGTTTCCTCTCTTCTCTTCTTTTTTATTTTTCTCATCTTCTCTAAAAACAGAGACCTGTTTACGTGACGTGTCATGACTGCTGAGATGTTGTTGACACTAGTGTTCATTTTGTTGACTAAAAAGAAATATGTTCGTCAAGACCTTTTTTTCCATGACGAAAACGAGACGATGACGAGACGGCACCGACGGCAGTAAACAATAACTGCAACGAAATCATCATGCAATATCGTTGACGAAAAGTGACGAGACGAAAATGTAGTTTACTAAATAAAAACTATGCCAAAATCTCTCTTTACTTTCGTTGACGAAAAATGAGGAGACGAAATATTATCAAAGATAATATTACATTTCTGATAGTCAGTTTTTCTCCCAGCAGTTCCATTTCCGGTGCTGCGGCTGGGCAGCAGCTGTGTGTGTCTGCGGTGCGCGCGGCGGTACATTTGAATTACACCGGGCAGTAGGGATGGGTATCGTTTGAAATTTATCGATTCCGATTTCAATTCCGGTTCTGCTTATCGATTCCGGTTCTTATCGATTCCCCGTTTCGATTCCAAAATTGTAAAATAAAGAGGTCAAACGTTTAGATAACAAAAATATATTTATTCTTAAAAGCTTTAACTGAAATTGTTACTAAAAAATATACATGCAATACAAATGTATTGCACAATAGCTGTGCTTTATTTTAACTGAGCTATGCCTGTGGCAAGCTATTAACAGGCATTACACTTTGCCTTTTCTTTTTCTTTTTTAGTGTAGTGGAGCCTCACTTCAGAGCGTTTACCGCGACCTATCTTTGGTGTTATGAAGTGACTGAGCTCGTGAAATGTCTACGGGAGGGCGGGGGAGCATCGTTGCGGGGCAACTGTGGACCTCTGTCGCCTGTCAGCGCAATTTATATGATGCCGTTTAAAAAAATGAAGGGCGGTGCCGGCCGTCAGCGTACCGAGCCGGCCGTCAACGAACCGCTGACGACCGGCCGTTCTGTGATTCTCCAGGTCCGCCCTGTATTCCACCGGGTCACCGCAGCACCGCGGTGCAGACGGACCCGCTGGAATACAGGGTCTACCGCGTTTAGGAACCGTTAAGCAGAACCGAAATTGTGTATTTTGTATGGGTACCCGGTACCCGGCATTTTCTTATCGGTTCTCATCTGGAACCGAGTTTCGGTTCCCAACCCTACCGGGCAGCGGCACACTGTGAACTGTCAGGAAGACTCGGGTCTAACTCATGGTCTAACTAACCTTATTCAACAGAAAATAAAATGGCAACAACAGGGCTTGGGAGCAGTGGTCGCACTCGCGTTAACCGAATACCCCCCCGTCAGCGCGAGTGATTGATAAATTGTGCACTCGACGGGTAATAATGGATTATGACGGAAATGTTACGATCCTGTCCGTCAAAATGACTGACAACGAAAAAGTCTAAAGCCACCACTGCTTGGGAGAAAGAAACAATGTGATATTTGGGCCCATTTTCGCTACAATGAGGCGGAGATAAAAAGCGAATGCATTGTTTTATCAGAAGGGAAGCAATGTGGCCAAAACACAGCAGGTAAAAACACCACAAACCTGACCAGATACTCTGCAAAGCTTCTCAATCATTCAACCTGAGTTTTTCATCAAATAAGGACAAGATATAATCTTATTTATTTATATATACTAAAATTACAAAGTATTAGTTTTGGTTAGACTAGTTTGACTGAAATGTTCTATATAATCTGATGACTAAAAAAGACTCAACAGTTTTCATTGACAAAAAATAGACTAAAATAATTAGTTTTCTTTGACTAAAATAAGACTAAAATGCTCAGACTTTTAGTCGACTAAAACTTGACTAAATAAAAACAGGATGAAGGTGACTAAATATGACTAAAACTAAAAAGGAAATGTAACACAGGACTAAAACTAAATTAAGAAATAGCTGACGAAATTAACACTAGTTGACACTCTCTTTTGTGTTTATTATAACAGGTGGGCGAGCGTATCGACGAACGTCCAATCAGAAGGGAGCTCACGTTGGGAAAGCTCTTCATGCGGCTTATTTAAAAATAAAACAGGACATATTTAACCACACCATAACCCTTAATATAAAAAGTGTTTGATAAATAATCCCACAGAAACACTTGTTGACATTTTCAGTGCATCCAGAGAATGTTAATTATATTCAAATGTGTTAAGTTTGTAAGGTTTAAACACATTAATATGAAAACAATCCCTTAAACCTGGAACTAAAATGTGACAAATCCAATCTAAATGACTGCGATATATTCCCTGTACTGAAGTAATACTAAAAAAACACAATATCTGCATTAAAACAGTACACTGTACGGTTAATGAAACATTAAGAGGTAAACAAACATAACATGTAAGTGGCTTTGGATAAAAGCGTCTAACACGTAACATGTAATGTAATGATAAGCTTTCAGAGGTACAACAATCAGGGGGCTGCAGGTCTGGAAACAGTAGCTGGAGCAGTTGGCTTTGTCCTGTAAAAACATCCTGAAGTTGACCTGTTGTCTAATGAAGTGGTGGAACACGCTGGAGATACCTGGTTGCATTACAAAGTGAATCTCTATTTCCAGAGAAATATAGAATGTTTGGAAGTGTTTGGAAAGAGCTCAAACACAGATCAATACATAGCAAGCACACCATCTGTCAGGTGTGGCATGACAACATACAGTATCATATCAAACAGGTATTTTAAGCCACTGCAATATTTCACATGTCAAATTCTGACGGCGTGAAAAAGCATGCAGACATCATTGCTGACGTGATAATACCTCCAGTTATTAACTGTTAAATCAAACGTTTATTCATGTTTAGCATTTGTAATGACTCAATAAATGCATTAGATATTATGCATATAGATATCACAATAACTATTTATTTTCAAACACATTAATACAAAAAGAGAAATAAAACATTTAGCCTAAATCAAATGTGTAAGATAGAAACAAATGTATAATAATAATGTAATATTCTATTGGAAAGCATTTAGCTCTCCTCTTGCTATGAAATAAACAAAGTACTGTAGTAATCAACTATTTCAAATGTATTGTAGTAAGTAGAATCAACAAGGAGTACTGTCGCTAATGATCTGAGTACTTCTACGTTTACTTTAGAAGCAGATCTGAGTACTTCTACTTTTACCTTAGAAGCAGATCTGAGTACTTCTACTTTTACCTTAGAAGCAGATCTGAGTACTTCTACCTCCTCAGTTTAAATGAAATGACTGTAAAAGCGAAATTTCCGACGCGTCCCTGAAGGCATCCCTTTAAGGTGGAGTTTCACGGTGCTGCAGCGGCTCGTCGGAATTTCAGTCCAAATAAACTGAACAACCGGAGACTTTCTGACCCCATTGACCCCCCATTGATCCCCCCATTGATCCCCCCATTGATCCCCCGGTGATGCCTCCATTGATCCCCCGGTGGTCCGGCTGGTGCTCCGCTGTTCGGTAAGTCCTCGTGTTCAGCCTCAGTTTGTAAATGCTTCTGTTTTAATCTTATCTGTGCTTTAAAAGGATGCTTACATTATGATGCACGCTTTTCAAATTTAAGACACGATGTCTAACTATCTATCATGTTTTTCACGCATAGCCCGCCGGGTATATGATTTTAACTTTGTGGATTTGAGCCTTTATTGGAGAAGAAGTTGTGTTTGCAGAGTTCTTATTATACATTTATGGTTTCCACCGAGAAGCCATTTTGGTGCGTTCAAGTTGCATCGGGTGAAAACCGTCAAAAATGAAAATCAGACATTTCCAAGTAGCAGAGGTGGAAGAAGGACTCAGATCTTGTACTTGAGTAAAAGTAGAAGCACTCAGATCATGTACTTGACTAAAAGTAGAAGTACTCACTTAATTAAAGCATTAATTAATTAACGCTGACAATTATTTTATGGCGCATTAACAGTTTGAATTATTAAGTGTTTGCAAACCAAATGTTACTGCACTTGTGTTCATATAGCAGTACGATTACAATAAAAGTGCATACTACTTTTTTCACTATATAATTTTTCGTAGAACAATCATGCGATTAATTGACATTAATAACAAATGTTAATCGTTTCCCTGCACTAAAATAAATGTATGTATGACAAACCAAAAACACAAGTGAGACCCTCAAAATTAGCAGAAAACGGACCCCTTTTATATAGACATTTGTATTCATTGGGATGAACCCCTTGAGATGCACCATCTCGTTTTCAAGGGGGTCCCAACAATAGCAACAACTTACAGACATACATAAACAAAAAGACAAAATGCAAAACATGACACACAAGACAAACCACATACAGTCTGTTAAGTGAAATTCAAGCAATGCACACAATCATTACAATTTGAGACAGTCGAGCAAATCAGTTTCATCAATATCAGTTAATAACAAGTACAGACCAGTTGAAAGTGAGATAACAATGCATGTTTAAATAAACCCAATGATGCAAGAGATCTAATAGCAGCAGGTAAAGTATTCCAGTCTGTTGGGGCTTTGAAAATGAACGCTCTTCTGCCAATCCATTTTTTTGCAGAGGGGACAGAGAAAGAAATCTGAACAGAATGTCTAACTTGATGAATTGGTGAGTAGGGTACAAAATACCGCTTTAAATAAGGGGGATAGTTAAGATAAATGCATCAGCTGGAGCCAATGCATGTGTCTTCTTACATTTAAAGAAGGCCATTTAAGTTGGTTATACATTGTGCAGTGATGTGTACGAAAAGGACAACCAAGAACAAATCTGCATAGTCTGTTGTAGGCTATGTTGAGTGGAGCAAGATCTGATTTATGTGCATTTTGGTAGACAACATCACAATAGTCCATAATCGGAAGAATAAGTTGAGAAGCAATTCTCTTTCGGACACTGCGCGTTTGGGTGGATTTGACCTATCTTGGTCGATTTTGCTGATTGATATCTCTCT